CGCAAATTCTTCTGCTAGTTGGGGTTTAGTCCAAATCTGCATCCTTTCCTTCAAGGCTCAGGGGTCCAAGATTATCTTCTGTGTCTGTATTTATTGGTTTCCCTTTTCTTTGTTGAAGAGGGTCTGTGCAATCCTTCTGCCTAGTCCGCCATCTTGCCCCCTCTGGCCCTGGAGTATTGGGACAATGGTCATGTGGGAGACATCAAGCTCAATTGGCATAACATACTACACAAAAACATTATTCTATATCCTACTTTGTTGAATAGTGACTGGGGTCTTAAAAGCTTTTGAGTGGTCATCCTTAATGCAACAACTGATCTCTCCTCATCTGGATCAAAGAAGAATGAATGAAGAGAATCAAAGAATAATAAAGAAGATCAAAGAAACATGGAAACAGTTCAAGGTTCTGGCTGACTATATACACTTCAGTCTACATGACCCTGAGACCAGAACTAGTTGGTGCTGAACTACCACTATCAACCACTCAGAAAGGGATCAGAATGTGAGATCCTGGATAGAGTGGGAGAAAAATGTGGGAAAAAAAAATCAAAATCATAAAAAAGACCAGGCTTACTGATCTGATAGAGTCTGGTGAAATCCCTGAGACTAAGGTCTCTGGTCACCCTTTAGGTCTGGAATTGAATTAACTCCTGTGACTTCCAGCCAAATAATAGACAGGCCTACAAGGTGAATATTTACACCATGTGAGTACTCTCCTTAGAACAATCAATCATGGGAGATCAGAAGGGCACCATTTGCACAGGGAGATATCACAGAATGTAGGAATTCATGGGATGGAAGGACACAGGGAAGGGTTGACCACAGGAAGGAAGTGGAAAGAAAGCTGTTACATTATGGTGATTGCAGTCAATGTCATGAAACAAAGTATATATGAACTATTGAGTGAGAAACAGATTTGTTCTGTAAACTTTCACTCAAATCACAATTAAAAAATATATATATAAAATAAAAATAAACAGGAATTGATAATATAGGAAATAATTATAGTAACTAATTTGGAGGCATTAATGTGGAACTAAAACATCATTAGTAATAGTATGAATAAGAAGTTAAAGTTGTAAATTCCCTGTATTATTTAGGAGAAAGAAAAAGGGTTAAACCAACTCTTCATAAAATCTCAAAAGTAATCACTAAAATAAAAGGAATATGATGTGTAATTTCTAAAGTAGTGGGAGAAAAAGGGAAAATGAAGAAAACTCAATCATCCCAAATAAGGCAATGTAGTAGGAGAAAGAATTATAGAAAAAGAACAATAAACAGCATGAAAGAAGATGGAAGATACAAACCAAACTTAACCATAATTAAAATAAATTTAAATTTACTGCAGAACGTGAATAAATTTGGAGGACATTATACTGAGTGAAAGAAATCAATCACAGAAGGACAAATATTGTATTAGTATTATTGTAAAAAGTCATGGAAAGGTTTATATATGGAAGGAAACTTTCTTGGTTATAAGGGGTGGAAGGGGAGGGGAAAGAACATTGCAAAAATAAAAAATAAACATGAAACATTAAATAATAAATGAATTTAAATTGACTAAACTTGCTAGGAGGAGCTGTGGTAGCATAATGGCTAAAGCACTTGACTGCTAACCAGAAGGCTGGAGGTTCAAACCCACCAGCCACTCCTCGGAAGGAAGGTTGGGCAATCCTACTTCCGTAGTGATACTGCCTCGGAAACCCAAGGAGGGGTCGCTATGAGTCGGGGCCGACTCGACGGCACATAACAACAACAACAACAACAAACTTGCTAGGAGCTCTGGTGGCATAGGGCCGAAGGCATTTGACTGCTAACTGGAAGGCTGGTGGTTCAAACCCACCAGCTACTTCTTGGAAGGAAGATTGGGCAATCTACTTCCATACTGATACCACTTCAGAAACCCAAGGAAGGGTTGCTATGAGTCAGATCCAACTCAATGGCAGTGAGTTTGGTTTTTGGTTTGAACTTGCCAGTTGAAGGATAAAAAGATTAGAATGCACTAAAAGTCCAAGTTAGGTTCTGATGGTTTTACAAGAAATATCGGACATGTAAGGGCACACAAATATTGAAAAGAAAAGGATGGATAAAGATATATTGCATAAGTAACCAGTATTGCCATATTAATATTAAATATGAGATTTTAAGGTTAAAAACATTAATTAGGAATAAAAAGGATTAATATCTTGATTAAGAAATTCTAAGGAAGATATAAGAATTCTAAACACAAAGGCACCTAGTTACATGTCCTCAAAATATAGTGAGCAAGGAGTAACAGACAAATCCATAGTGGTAGATTTTAGTTGAACAACATAATTATTAACCTTAATAGAAACGAATACATTTAGTCCTTCAGAAACTCTCAGACATATATAAGCAAAGTGTTACAGAAGTGGTACCACAAATCTCGAGGAAAATGAGTCCTAAGGGAAAAAAAATTAAATTAGATCTCTATTTCATACCATGCACAAACAGAAAAATCTACATGTGAATTTTCATGAGAAAAATATGGGAGAATGTATTTATATACCTGGGATAAAGGATTTATTGAATAAGATATCTTGCAACTAATATTCTATAACAAAAGTTATCATAAGCAAAGTGTAAAGATACACTACAGATAGCAAGAGTACATTTGCAATTCATAAATTGGACTAATGTTTGGTACTCAAGTAAATATAGAACTCTGACAAATCAACAATAAAAAGATAAACAAACAGTAGAAAAAATATGAATATGAAATCCAGAGAAGAAGGATACTTGATGAACAATAAACACATGAATAGATGCTGAAACAATCCTAAGTGTTTTAAACCTATTTATTTCTGTAATCTTTGTAACAGCCCTATTGAAGAGACATTGCTGTAATTACTCATTTTACAATGGAAGAAACTGAGGAACATAGAGGTAAAATAACTTGATGTTGGTCACACAGCTCATGAGAATTGGCAGAATTTAAATTTAGGCAGTTTGACTTGAGCCAATACCATTTAGCACTGTACAAATAAAAGTTCAAAATTTCATTTCTTACTTTGTAGATTGGGTGGGGGTTCAAACCCACCAGCCACTCCTCAGAAAGAAGATGGGGCAATCTACTTCCGGAGTGATACTGCCTCGGAAACCCAAGGAGGGGTCGCTATGAGTCGGGTCCGATTCGACAGCACATAACAACAACAACTTTGTAGATTGGTGAGAATTAAATTTAAAGCCTATCTATAGTATAAATAAAGGAGCTCTGGTCATACAGAGGTTAAGCATTTGGCTGTTAACCAAAAGGTTGGCAGTTTGAACCTACCAACTACTCTGCAGGAGAAAGGTGTGACAGTCTGCTTCTGTAAAGATTCACAGCCTTCGAAACCTAATGGGACAGTTCTTCTCTGTCCTATAAGGCTGTTATGAGTCAAAATTGACTTGTTGGCAATGAGTTATACCATAAATAGATAAAATATAGCATTTTTTAAAGCTGCCTGGGATAGATACTATTTTCATAATATTACAACAAATTGTGTGAACTTCTCATTCATTATTCATGCTGTGAATAAAAGTCAAATGGGCCACATGGAATCTATGCTTACATATGTTTTTTATATAGTTCCACTCACCTGAGTTTGACAACATGAGCTCTGATGAACTGATTTCTTAAATTTGATTCTTTGAATGTTTCACTAATCTGTAGAAAGAAAAAGGGGAGGAACCTCTTCGTAATTACATTTCTTTCTCTTCTTCCTCCTTCCTCCCGATCTTGTACCATGGGACTTATGGCTAATCCTGGGTTTTCAGTTCAGTTCAGTTGCTTCACAATTACATATGGGAATGATTGAAGCAGGCTATGTAACCTTTCATTTCAGTGTCTATTTCTTCTTCTGTAATTCAAAAATAATTGTTAATATCTTATTATCAGTTGTTAATTGATAATTTCCTTCAGGATGCTTCTTCACTACAAGTGTCATCCAAAACACTTCAAATATTTCACTCAATGGGAGCCATATTATATGACTTCATGTCTGTTCCTAAAGGGACAAGAGTCAAGCTAACACTAGGAAAATCCACTGATGTCACTTAAATTGTGTGATCTCCCTCAATGATGGTGTTTTAACTGGATGAAACCAGATTAAAATAGTATTAAATATCTTATAAGAAGTATAGGAGCTCTGGTGGCACGGTACCTAAGGCATTTGACTGCTAACCAGAGGCTGGCAGTTCACACACACCAGCCACTCCTCTGAAGGAAGATGGGGCAATCTACTTCTGTAGTGATACTGCCGGGAAACCCAAGGAGGGGTCATTATGCATCAGATCCAACTCCATGGCAGTGAATTTTTTTTTTTTTTTTTTTTAGTAAAAAGTATACCACTAACTAGCATTACTTTACATAGTAAAATGGCTCTAATCAGGAGTAGGAGGAGCTCTGGTGGTAGAATGGAGATCAAGGAGGTTAGGGTGGTAGGAAAGTGTGTGAAACATTTGGTCTGCCTTATTGGCATTTGGCACTATTAAGACATTTGGCTGCTAACCAAAAGGTGGGTAGTTTGAACCCACAAGCTGCTTCATGGAAGAAAGATGAGGCAGTCTGCTTTGGTAAAGATTTACAGCCTTGGAAACTCAATTGGGGTCACTATGAGTCAGAATCAACTTGATGGCAGTGAATTTGGTTTGGAGTTTTTTTTAATCAGAGGGTAGGAGTGCTGCCAATTCTGATATTACCTTACTGTTCATTTACTTGTTCATTACTGTTTGCCTATTAGTGTTGTCTCCAACTGTTTTGTGTGTGTGTGTGTGTGATTCTTCAAATTTGCTGATTTGGGGAGGTTTCTTTTACATTTATAACTCAATATGATTTTTCCAACCACTTGTAAACTACATATCAGTGAAATATGTTGAGAGTAAGTGAAGGTGTGCTGAAGCACTTGTCAGTACTACCATGTTATTGCCTCCTTCTCTTCTCTCAGGGTATATCTATGCACGTACCACATGACCATCTGACATTAAAAACTAAACCAGCATGCCAATGCCAATCATGTGTTAAATAGTTAGAAAGCTAAATTTCTTTCTTTTCTTTCCCTTCCTTTCCTTTCCATCCTTCCTCTTTCCTTCCTGCCCTCCCTCCCTCCCTCCCACCATGCCTGCTTCCCTCCTTCCTTCCATCTTTCTTTCTCCCTCCTTTTCCCTCCCTCCCTCTCTTCCCCTCCCTACATCTCTTCTATTCTCCTTGCATTTTTTCCTCCCTCCTTTCTTTTCCCTTTTTTCCCCCAGAGAAAAACACATGTAGAGTGACATTTGAGAATTTTTTTCCATCACTCCAATGAAATGTTGGTCCTCCCTGGGATGCCCATGGTTTGAATTCTGGTTCTACTACTTTATGGTTGAATGGCCTTTGAAATGTTTCTTAATCTTATAATCTGTTCTTAATGATTTATAAAAATGATCCATTAATTCATAAAACTTATGAGATAAAGATTAGCTAATTTATGTGAAAGTGCTTTGCAAACTATAAAGCACTAGAGTATTATATCTTAAATATTCAAAGTGTTTCCACAGAAAGATTAATGTAGGAGATTAACTAGGGAAATTACACATCAGACCAATTTAAAGACAAATCTTTTTCTACTGGACATTTAAATATAAAGCCACAGTACTCTAAATATTCTAGCACTTGGCAGGTAAAGATTAATCAGTGAGAGAGAGTGGAGTACAGAAAAAGAAAGACATGAAGGAATTTACTATATGATAAAGCTGGCTTGACAAACCAACTGCTCTATTTAGCACACTGAATTGGGACTCCACCTAGCTATTTTCTGGGAAAACACTGGCTCTCTACTTCAGTACAAAATAAATTCTGAATCAATCAAAGATAAACTTACAAAAATAGAAATAACAATAGTAATGGAGCTCTGGTGGTATAGTGCCTAAGGCATTTGACTGCTAACCAGAAGGGTGGAAGTTCAAATCTACCAGCCACTCCTCAGAAGGAAGGTTAGGCAATCTACTTCCATAGTGATACCACATCGGAAACCCAAGAAGAGGTTGCTATGAGTCGGATCCGACTCTATGGCAGTGAGTTTGGTTTGGTTTTTTGAGTATTGTGGTATATTATTGTCATTAAGGAGCTCTGCTTGCACAGTGGTTAAAACATTTGGCTGGTAACCAGAATGTGAGCAGTTCAAACCCACCAGCAGTTCTACAGGAAAAAGATATGGCAGTCTGCTTCCATAATGATTTACAGCCTTGGAGACACTATAGGGTAGTTCTGCTTTGTCCTATAGGTTGCTGTGAGTCAGGAGCAACTTGATGGCAGTGGGTTTTTATTGTAATTCCTCTCTAAGTAGATTTTTCCAATTTTTGCATATACTCTGTTAAGAATAAGCTGACCTAACATATCTTAACCATCTAACAGGAACTGAATGACTTCATTAGGACTGAGGACATTTCTGGCATTTTGCTGTAATGACAAATAGCTGGGTATTAATTCCTCAGCATGAACCTGGGATTCCTCTCAATACACACCCTTTTGGTTTGCTTTCCTTTATTAACGTGGGTGCACACCTGGAACATTACAAAATGTCTTGGTGTGGGTGTGAGGACTACATTATGAATAAGTGTTTCATCAGACTGGCCTCCTGACAGTATTTATCTCTAGCAGCTTCTTCAGGAAAGTTAAGAATATCTGTTGGTTTGAAATCCAACCAATGAGACATCACAGTACAAATCATATAACTAGATATTCCTGTGCAATTATAAGAACAGGTTGGGAACAGAATGTATTGAGTGGGCAAAGGAGTTTGCTTTGATAAGACTTTAATGGAAGTTTTATCTAAATTTCCACATTTTCTGGAATATCTCTAATTATGACCCTTTACCTCTTGATTTTTTTTCTGGACAAATCAGTGAGTTTCTAAGGTCTCTGGGTGGCACAAGCAGTTTGCACTCTGCTACTAACCTACAGGTTGGTGGTTTGAACCTACATAGCAGCACTGTAGAAAGGCTTGGCAATCAGCGTCTGTGAAAAGTATAACCTAGGACGCCCGATGGGGCAGTTCTACTGCATAACATGTGGGGCTGCTGGGAGTAGGGATTACTTGACAGCAATGATTTTTAGTTTGGTGACGAGCTTCTAACTAGCCTTATTGTGTGCAGACTCTTCTCTTTCTACTCTAATTTAGATACTTCTGCACATGCATCTATCAAAGCACCATTACGTGCTGAGGACTTCTTGCCTATGAAAGAAAGTCTAAAGCCATTAGCCAAGCACATTTCTACTTCTGTGCCTTGGCTCACGCTTTTGACATTGTGTGTCTTTTTCATCCTTACAGACAATCTGATGTCACCTTTTAAAATATGGCTTCTCTGTCTCCATGATTGGATATACTCTATACTCCATCTGCTTTGTCTAATCATAAATTGTGTAACTGTGGTACTCTCATGCCATATACTGACTAAAAAAAAAAAAAACAAAAAAACAAACTCACTGCCATTGAGTCAATTCCAAATCATAGTGACCCCCATTGGGTTTATGAGCTGGTAAATCTTTATGGAAGTAGATTGCCTATATTTCCTTCCATGGTGTGGCTTGTGGATTTGAACCACCAACATTCTGGTTAGCAGTCAAATGCTTTAGGCACTCTGCCACCAGAGCTCCATATACCCACTAGATATCTTGTATCATAAGTATTTTTAAACTTGTTTAATCTTCCATGGTAGACTAAGGCTATGAGTGCAAGACCTGTAGCTACTCTATTTTTGTGTATCCAAAATATTTGACAGAGTTGGTACTTAATAAATATTTACTGAGGGAACAGGAGACTTCCCTCTAACACTTTAAACAGTCTCTCCAGTGTTAACTCTACCTAGCTTTTCTTTCCAAATCACCACTGCTCTGTGGTGATATGTGAATGCTGAGGGTTCACATATGAAGTTCCTTGGCAGACGGTCAGTGTTGTTGTTGTTAGGTACTATTGAATGACGTCCAAATCATAATGACCCTATGTACAACAGAACAAAACACTGCCCAGTCCTGCACCATTTGCCCAATCCTGCACCATTTGCCCAATCCTGCACCATTCGCACAGTCCTTGCTTTAGCCCATCATTGTAGCCACTGTGTCAATCCATCTCATTGAGAATTTCCCATTTTTCAGTGACTGTCCGCTTTACCAAGCATGATATCCTTCTCCAGTGATTTGTCCCTTCTGACAACACGACCAAAGTAGGTGAGATGCAATCTGGCCATTCTTGCTTCTAAGGTGACCAGTGGGTCTCCTCAAATGAGAGCCCAAGCTTGCTTTGCATACACTGAAATCTGTGAAAGCCTGAACTCAAAAGAACTGCCTTATTTTTCTAGGTTTTTGCAAGTTTTCTGCCTTTGATAGGGTGCAGTCTTACCACTTTTCTATTGTTCTCCATTAGTGGAAAATATTGTAGTTTTCTTTCTCTGGCAGGTTTCTGCCTTCCACATGATCCTACTTTCACAAGTTTCACTGTATTTCCATTCAAACTTCTGGTTTCTATCATTGAGCCAAAGTATGATGTTGAAAGCATGTCATTGTTGATGTGACAAACAGCTCTGGTGATGTAGTGCCTAAGGCACTTGACTGTTAACCAGAAGGGTGGCATTTCAAACCCACCAGCCACTCCTCAGAAGGAAGGTTAGGCAATCTGCTTCTGTAGTGATACCACCTCGGAAACCCAAGGAGGGGTTGCTATGAGTCGGAGCTGACTCCACAGCAGTGAGTATCTTCTGTGTTTAGTTAGATAAAAAAAGAGGCAAGAAGGCCAAATGAAAAGGATTTAAAAAGGTATTCTCAAGGGTAGCAATAATATAATAGTTACCTTTCACAGACAATAAACTGTTGGTCTGTCTTTAAAGTTATAATCAAGTAAAACACATATTTACTCATGGCCTTTGTAAAGCTTTTTCACTCATGACTTAAGAAAATATGAATAAGAACCAATATCCTAATAAATTAACTTGGGAAAGGTAGAGAAATACATCTTTCATCACTAAAAGGAGGGAAATATGCAAAGCATTTAGCAATTGAAAATGTATCAAAAATACTAGGTTCAATATTTTCATTTTATAATGGAATAAAGAACAATTACAAATATTTGCTTACCATAGATTCAATTTTTCCGCTCAGAGTCCTATATTCCTGTGTACCTGGTGAATTTAACTTATCATTATATTTAACATTTAGTATTTGAAAGCTGCTATGGTAAAAGTAAGATTTTTGATCTGTAAGACAAAAAAAGAAGCAGAATCATCTTCACATTACAAAAGAGTGTAATATTTATATTATTTGACATAATAGAGGCTATATTACATAATTTAATAAATTTACTTCCCTTAAAAGAAAGATAACTATATTGATTATAAATGTAATTATAAAATTGCTATTTTTTCTTTCAGTTTTTAAGAAGCTGGAGTTGTTAAAAATGTATTAAAATCAGAATATCATCATTATTTGAGCATTTAAAATTACTCAGGAATAGTATTTTTATTCCACTATATTTTAGGGAGATCCGTGGTGGTATATTTATTTTTTTTAAAAATTAATACATGTATATTATATGCTATCATTACTTGCTTATTAATGAAGAACAAAAGTAATTGTAAATATTTTTAAAAAATATTTCACATAATATTCTTTACAGAGGAATTAATGATTTTCCTTAGTCTTTCCTGGACTAAGTTAGAAAATAAGTCTCTGACAGGATATCTAATTTCATTGTTGAATGGGATTTTTTTTCCATCAAAATAGTTCTTCCAAAGGACATAGCTGTGTGAAGGAGATAAAATCCCCGAAACATATCTACACACATCTCAGAAACATTGTGAATGTGAACATATACAAATACTATCTGTCTCTGGGAAAAGCTGTGTTTTCTTTTGATCATTCATAAACTTAGCTTGTGCAGAGAGATACCTACATTAAGAGAAAGAATTGGGGATCCTGGGAGCAAAGTGATCTTTAATGGTGGATAAATGGACAAGTCCTTTCCTGGGCCACATTGGTCACTGGTATACCATTTAAAGAACACGTACCAAGAGTCTGACTCTTGTGTTAAAGTGTGAGAATACTACCCACCCACTGCCACAGAGTCAATTCCAAGTCATAGCAACCCCATTGGGTTTCCAAGGTGGTAAATCTTTATGCAAAGTAGCTTGCCCAGTCTTCTTTCCACGGAGCGGCTGGGGGGTTTGGACTGCCAACCTTCTGCTTAGCAGTCAAATGCCTTAAGCCGAAGCTTGACCAGAGATCCTTACGTCTTAAGAGTGATAATTCACTTATTTAATCTGGGACTTGTAGAACTCACTTTAAGGGGAAAGGGATTCCAAATGATTTGGGGTTTTTTTTTTTTTTTTAAAAAGTAGTCAAAGCAGAATTTAACCACATCTTTTTAATTTGCTTGAAATAGTAATTGGTTGAAATGACTATTCATAGTTACTAGATTTTCTAATATTGACAATTTTATTGCACCATTGGGACATTTTCAGCCTTTGCATGGTTAGTGATTTTTGCCCATTTATAAGTTATTCTTAAGAATTACAATACAGAAATTACTTTATGGTCAAATTTGCTTATCCTTCAATGTTTATGATAAAGAAAGGTTGGAGATCTCCTAAAGGTAAAACAATGGAACACTAGGAGATAAAATAGATTATATTTTCTTTCAATCTCTCTCCTGCTCCCTCCTTCCCTGCCTCTGTACCTTCACATACACACCAATTTAAATGAGTTAGCTGAAGAATATCTGAAATAAAAATCTCACAGTGTATTTTAAAGGAAAGAAGCAGATTATAACATGCAGGATGTTATGTGGTAAAATGTGACATATTTTATGTATTCACATTAAAACATCCAAAAGAACATTCACCAAGGTATTTGAGGAGGCTATTTATGAATAGAAGGAGCTGTGGTGGTGCAGGGGGTAAGACATTTATTTGTCTGCTAAGAGAAATCAGCAGTTCAAACCACCAGCTATTCCATGGGAAGAAGATAAGACAATCTACTTCTGTAAAGATTTACAGCCTTGGAAACCCTATGGGGGTCACTGTGAGTTGGAATCAACTCAGTGGCAAAGGGTTTGTTTTTGTTTCTTTATGAATAAGCAGGCTATACATATTCTTCATATCATTTTTCTTCTATATGTTCCCTAATATTTTGGTGGTGTAATAATAAAAAGTTAAACAGATAACAAAACAACAGAATTCTTTTAAAAGTTTGTTTTTATGCTCTCTAATTCTTAAGTGAGGGAGCTCTGGTAGCGTAGTGCCTAAGGCACTTTACTGCTAACCAGAAGGCTGGTGGTTCAAACCTACCAGCCACTCCTCGGAAGGAAGATGGGGCAATTTACTTCCATAGTGATACTGCCTCAGAAACCCAAGGAGGGGGTCACTATGAGTCGGATCTGACTGGACGGCCCATAACAACAACAACAACAATTCTTAAGTGCAAAGTCATCTCCTGACCATCATACCTCTTCTACTTGTAAGATTGTTTTCAGGAGATGAAACATAAATTAATAGATCCTTAGATATAACTAACTTTTAGGTATTGAAACTTAAGGTTCTTTTTGGCATTTCACTTTTATGATTTTATTAGGTTATTAAATGAAGAAGGAAATCATAGTATTAATGAAAAACAGAATGGGCAAAATCAAGCAATAGAAAAGAATCAAGAGATTTTGTTTTCTTTGGCTAGAATAATCCTTGATTGAGCAATAGTGGCTGGTAAACAATAAATACTAAATAGAAGAGAAAAAAAGTACTGATTATGGGAAAATACAAATGTAAACATATATTTAAGGAAGAATTATAAGTTAATATATATAATATGTTTTTGCCAAAATTTGTAGAGACAGAGATGGAGACAGAATGTGAAACTTTTCATCTGAAAGTATATTTAATAGTCTAAAGAGCAATAATCTCTGGTACTTACCAAAAGCTAAAAAGTGGATAAGCAGAGCTACAGTCACTGCCAGGATCACGACCACTGCGACAACAGCAAAACCTACCACACATGGATTCAGGAATCTTGAAGTCGATGGCACCCGTGCTGGCCTTTGAACAAAGGAAAAAGATCAGAGGTCCCTTACCAAAACAAAAAACAAAAACCACTGTCATCAAGTCGATTTTGACTTATAGCAACCCCCATTGGGTTTCCAAGATGGTAAATCTTTATGAAAGCAGATAGCCTTTCTTCCTTCCATAGAGCTGCTGGTAGGTTTGAACCACCAACCTTCTGGTTAGCAGTCAGATGCCTTAGGCACTGACTTTTACCCATTAAAAAAAAAAGACTTAGCACTTATTTTATCCATAGAAGCCATTAGTTCGTACTCATGATAATTTTCTGCCTTCCTAAAACTCTTAGATTGCCCGTTATTCTATTTATAGGAGATTAAGTAGTTCTTCATTGGAATATAGTCCTGGAAGTAAGCTTGAACTGAACAAGACTCTTAAGGGTTTTTCATTAAAATTTTTTCACCTCAAAAATGTTGACATTTAGGTTGTGTGATAGAAGAATAAGGCAATGTGACCTCTGGTTTACAATGATTTTCCCTTCTGCTAATTGAAGAAATTCTTAAGAATAACTAATTGGTCTCTATTTTACTACATTTTCTTCTATATTGAGCTCTCTATGTTGGGCAATATTGTAGTAACCTCCTTCACCTGGGCACCATTCCAGGGATGTACAGAAGAGAGATCATTTTATGGTGGAAGAGAGAAAAGAAGGGTGGGGATGGGGGATCAGAATAGTAGCATTCATCACCATAATAGTCTTCATATTATTAAAAATAGGTATGTACCATTGCTAGTGGGAATGCAGAATGATACAGCTGCTGTGGAAAACAGTTTGACAGTTCTCTAATATGTCTCAGGAGTTCCACTCTTAAGTATATACTCAAGATACTTGAAAGCAGTGACACAAACAGAAATATGTACACCAAAGCATTGTAGTACTATTCACAATAGCCAAAAAGTAGAAACAACCCAAATATCCATCAACAGATGAATGAATAAACAAAACGTAGTATGTAATACAATGAAATGCTACTCTGCCAGAAAGAGGAGTAGTCTTCATAAATGATACAGCATGGATAAACTTTGAAAACATTATGCTGAGTGAAATAAGGCAGTCAAAAAAATAAATATTGTATGGTCTCACTACTGTGAAATAGCTAGAATAGGAAAACATATAGAGATTAGTTTAATAGTGGTTACCAGGAGAGGACAGGAGCGGACAAGGAGGGAGTCATTGTTTAGGGACAACTTACATTAACATGTCAGATTTATGTAGGAATACTAATTAATCTCTGCCATTGAAACATAGTGCTGCAAAAGACTTCTTTAAAATCTTAAAAAGCAGAGATATCACTTTGATGACTAAGCTGTACCTGAACAAGACACTGTATTTTCATTCACCTCATGTGCATGTGAAAGCTGGAGAGAAAAGAAAAAAATAAAATAAATAAAAGGAAGACCAAAAAAGAATTGATGCATTTGATTATGGTGTTGGCAAAGAGCATCGAATATACCAAGCACTGCCAGAAGAATGAACAAATCTGTCTTGGAAGAAGCACAGATAGAATGCAGAATGTTGTTAAGAAACAAGGATGTGGAGACTTTGTCTCACTTACTTTAGACATCTAGTATTGTCTGCCACTTTATCATATTATAGTGGCTTATGTGTCACTATGATGTTGGAAGCTATGCCACAAGTATTTCAAATACCAGCAGGGTCACCCATGGAGGATAGATTTTAGTGGAGCTTCCAGGAAAAAGATAGACTACAAAGAAGGACTTATCTCTACATCTGAAAACCTGACCAGTAAAAACTTTATGAATAGCAGTGAAACATTGTCAGATATAGTGCCAGAGACGAGCCCCTAAGGTTAGAAGGCACTCAGAATAATGGCTGGGAAGAGCGGCCTCCGCAAAATAATGAGGTGGATGGAGTAAAGCTTTCATTACCTTCATTTGCTGACATGACACAACTCAAAATGAGAGAAAACAGATGCAAATATTTATTGGTGACTGGAACATGGAATGAATCTAGGAAAATTGGAAGTTGTCAAAAATTAAATGGAATGCTTGAGATACATATTCTAGGCAGTGATGAGCAGAAATGGACTGGTATTGGTCATTTTGAATTGCACAATCATGTGGTCTAATATGTTAAGAATGATAAATTGAAGACTAGTGGCATCACATTCATTGTCTTAAAGAACATATGGGATAATATCTGGACGCCAGTAAGGAAGGCCAGTTAAAACAACTATTATTCAAATTTAGACACCAACCACTAATGCCAAAGATGAAGAAATTGAAGATTTTGACTTATTTTTGCATCTGAAATTGATCAAATATGCAACCAAGAAGCATTGATAAGTCCCGGTGATTGGAATGCAAAAGTTTGAAGCAAAGAAGAAGGATCAAGTGTTAGAAAATATGGCCTTGCTGACAAAAATGGTGTTGGAGATCACATAGTAGAATTTTGCAAGACCAACAATCTATTCACTGGAAATACCTTTTTTCAAAAACATAAATGGCAACTATACATGTAGACCTAGCCAGATGGTGTACACATCTGTGGAAAGAGTTGATGGAGAAGCTCAATAACATTTATCAGAACAAGGCTAGGGGCTGACTACGGAACATAATATCAATTGCTCATATGTAAGTTCAAGTTAAAGCTGAAGAAAATTTAAAAAAGTCCATGAGAGCCGAAGTATGACCTTGAGTGTATCCTACCTGAATTTAGAGACCTATCTCAAGAATAGATTCGAAGCATTGAACAATAATGACCCAGAACCAGACAAGTTGTGTGATGACATCAAGAACCTCATACATGAAGAAAGCATAGGTCTTTAAAAAGACAGGGGGAAAAAAAGGACCAAAATGAATGTCTAAAGAGACTTAGAAACTTGCTCTTGAATGGAGAGTAGCTAAAGCAAGTGGAAAAATGACAAGAGAAAAGAGCTGAACAGATTTCAAAGAGTGGCTCAAGAAGACAAAGTCAATTATTACAATGAAATGTGCAAAGACTTGGAGTTAGGAAATGTAAAGGGAGGAACATGCTTGAAGTAACAAATTTCTCATGCTGAAAGAACTGAAGAAAAAAAATCAAGTTTTGAGTTGTGATATTGAAAGAGTCTATGGGAAATATATTGAATGACACAAGAAGCATCAAAAGAAAATAGAAGGAATACACAGAGTCCCTGTACCAAAAAGAATCAGTCAACAGCCAACCATGTCAGGAGGTAGCATATGGTGAAGGACATAATGGTATTGAAAGAAGAAGTTCAACATGCAATGAAGGCATTTACTAAAACAAGTTTCTAGAAATTTATGGAATACCAATTGAGATGTTTCAGCAAATGGATGTAACTCTGGAAGTGCTCATTCATTTGTGCCCAGAAATTTAGAAGACAGCTACTTGGCCAACTGAGTAGAAAAGATCCATAATTTAGCCTATTCCAAAGAAATGTGATCCAATGGAATGTGAAAACTGTCAAGCAATATCATTAGTATCACATTATAATTATTATCACAAATTTTGCTGATAATAATTCAAAAATGTTTGCAACAGTACATCAATAGGGAACTGCCAGAAATTCAAGCTGGATTCAGAAGAGAACATAGAACAAGGGATATCATTGCTGATGTCAGATGGATCTTGGCTGAAAGTGGAGAGTACTAGGAAGATGTTTACTTGTGTTTCATTGGACATGCAAAGAAATTCAACTGTGTGGATCATAACAAATTATGGATAACATTATTAAGAATGAGAGTTCCAGAACACTTAATTGTGCTCAACTGGAACTTGTATATACACTAAGAGGCAGTTAGTCAAACAAAGCTAGGGGATTCTGTGTGGTTTAATATCAGGAACAGTGTGTTTGAGTGCTGTATCTTTTCATCTCTTTGATGCAACCTGTATGCTGAGCAAATAATATGAGAAGCTGGACGATATGAACAACACAACATCAGAACTGGAGAAAGATTCATTGACAACCTTTGATATTTAGATGATATAACCTTGCTTGCTGAAAGTGAAGATGACTTGACACAGTTACTGATGAAGATCAAAGACTGTAGCCTTCAGTTACAACTCAACATAAAGAAAAGTCCTCACAACTGGACCAATAAGCAACATTATGATAAATGGAGAAAAAATGAAGTTGCCAAGGTTTTCATTTTACTTGGACCCACCATCAATGCCCATGGAAACCAAACCAACTTCCATAAAGTCAATTCTGACTCATAGTAACTTCCATTAGGTTTCCAAAGCTGTACATCTTCATGGAAGTAGATTGTTTTATCTTCCTCCTGTGGAGCAGCTGGTGGGTTTGAACCACTGATCTTTTGATTAGCATCCAAATGCCTTGCCCACTATGCCACCAGAGCTCCTTGCTCATGGAAACAGAAGTCAAGAAGTAAAACCATATATTGCATTGGACCAATCTGCTGCAAAAGATTTCTTTAAAGTGTTGAAAACCAAAGATATCACTTTGAAGACTAGTACACCTGACCCAAGCCAAGATATTTTTAACTGCTTCATGTGCATGTGAAAGCTGCACAATGAATAAGGGAAACAGAAAAAGATTGGATGCATTTGTATTATGATGTTGGTGAAGAATATCGAGTATACTATGTACTGCCAGAGAATGAACAAATCTGTCTTGGAACAAGTACAGCCAGAATGTTCCTTAGCAGTGAGGATGGAGTTTGTCTTATGTATTTTGTGCATGTTATCAGGAGGAACCAATGTCTGGAAAAGAATAATGTAAAGCAGAGGGTCAGTGAAAAAAAGGAAGACCTTCAAGGAGATAGATTGACACAGAGTCTGCAATAATGTGCTCAGACATACTCAATAGTTTGAGGATGGCACAGTTCTGAGTCAGGTTTTATTTTGCTATACATTGGGTAGCTATGAGTTGGAATCAATTGGACAGCATCTAACAACAGCAAAAACTACATTGACACAGTTCTACTCAATATATGACTGACTGGATTAATAGAGCTATGTGCAAATGAATCTCAATTATCTTCAAGAATGAAGAAAATCTGTGACAGGGTAATTACAACTACAGATACACACAATATGCATATACAGGAATTTTATTTTTATTGTGTTTTAGGTACAAATTTACAGAGCAGATTTTTATTTACATTCAACATTTCTTGTACATTTGGTTTCATTCCTCAATTACTATCCCCAACCCTAACCCACTCTCCTCCTCTCCCTTCCCAGTAACATCCCCCCCACCCCCTGTGCCTTTCATAGTTACACACTCCTGTGTGTCCTGCTTTTCCTCCATGTGAATGTTGCCCCTCTGGTGCCCTGTGGTCAATTGCTACAAGGGAAGTATCTCTGTAGAGTATGTGGGTGGGTGCATCATCCTGTGTTGAGTGGTCTGCTTGTATGTCTTATTTACTATTGGGCTGAGAGCCAGCCCTTGGAAGTGAGTTTTATTCCAGTCTGAAGTGTATACCAGGGTCATAGTTTTGGGGATCCCACCAGGCTCCATCCAACCAGTAATTCTATTTATTATTGTGTTTTTGAATTTTGTTCTGTATTTTCTTCCTACTCCATCCAGAATCTCCAGTTTTGATCCCTTCCCTAGTGGTTGGCATTGGTAGCTAGGCACCATTTAGTTCTTCTGGTCTCAAGGTCCATCATATCCTAGGGCTGATTGTTTCCAAATGCCCTTGGTTTTCTTCACTCTTCTATGCTTCCAGTGAAAGGAGACCATTAGCTGCATCTTCGATGGCCACTTGAAAGCTTTTAAGACCTCAGTTGCTACTTACCAAAGTAGGTTGTGGAACAAGCTTTTTATGTATTATGTTGACTTGCCGTGCCTCTTAACTGATCTCCTTATTTCCATTAACTAATCAATCAATTAATTCAAGAGACATTCCCAGGCTGAAAATATAGTAGTGAACAGAAAGAGACAAATATACTGGCCTTAATAGTGGAAGGAGACAGAAAATGAATATGTAAAATAAGAGAAAGAAGCAGGGAGATGGGAAAAGAAACGTATATGGGGTGCTGAAAACTTAGATAGCGTGACCAAGGAAGTCCTTGCTGAAAAAGTGACATTTGAGTAAAGACCAGAAAGAGGTGAGTGAGTAAGCTATACAAATAGCAAGGGAAGAAGGATCTAGGCAGAGGGAACAGCCGTGCAGAGGCCTTGAGTCAGGTAAATTTGAGGACCAGCAAGAATGCTAACTCAACTGAAGGAAAGTGAGCAAATGGGGATGGCCATAGGGGGATAAAGT